AGGGAAGAAAAATTACCTGAGTTTCTATAGCTGGGTTGTTTTTTTTTTTTTTCGTGGTTTAAAAAATTATATTTTACATTTTATAAGTTGTATAATATTTTATATTTATGCAGAAAAATCAATAAAAAAATTGAAATTATTTTAATTAATAACTAAAAAACCTTTATTACGTTAAAATATCAAAATTATCACTCTTTTTTAATTTGCTTAATCATAAAACCCTAGCCACGAATCTTCACCGTACTTTCCAAAATCTAGCCACCCGAATCCAATAAAAAAATCATAATCATCATCATCATCATCATCTATCTATCTAAGATTTTGTTCCATTACCTATAGAAACCATAGTAATTGCTTGTTGTTCCCCTTCAAAAGTCAAGAGTCTAAAGTTAAAGTGGCGTATGAATCTTCAATGAAGATCTCACCCATCGTGGGGATGGGCTGCTAACCCTGCTTTCGAGCCAATTGCTAGCCTTTTCTTCTCCGCGGTACCTTAGTGCGTCGAAGACAAAGAAATTGTTGCGGAGTCATTCAGAGTGAAAGAAGTGATGATGATAACCTCTAAAATAATAGAAAAGCAAAGAGAAGAGAAGTTGCTAGCACCAGTTAAGCCTTTTCACATGATAGCAGCAAACTCAACGGATTCAATGGTAGCCCATCTTTTGTCTTCGATAGTGGAAATAAGGAAATTCGAAACCCTCAATCACAGCTTATAAAAAATAAAAAATAAAAAGCCAGAACTGTTGAGTTAACTTCCCCAATGGTTTGAACCGGGAATTCACTCTAAGCATCTCTGTCTCCATTTGACTTTAATCATGAAGACGAGAGCAATGCAGCGTAAAAGGCGACATTAGCAGCGAGAGAAGTGACTGGCACTGCTGAATACCATGATAATAATCTTAAGAAAAAAAAAACCTAATTTGGTTAAATCGATTTGGGGTTTTTTTATTTTTGTGGAGAGAGAGGGGAGTGAAGGCGAGTGTTCTGGTATTTTCTTCAATATATAATATATTATGTATATAAGAACAGTAGCGCCATTTCATATAGTTTAATTAAAAAAATGGTAGGTTGATACATTCTAAAAATCAACAATGATAAGTTAATAATCTCTTCTAACAGATAACATACATACTATTTAAATAATATCTAAAACTAACCTAGATAATGAAATCTAAATTAAATAAGATTCTGAAATCCAATTAAAAAATAATCCAGAAATATCTAGAAAAATAAAGAATTAAAAATTGTTTTTGTTTTTATTAGAAAATTCGTTTTTTTGACTAGTCCAATTTATTTTTAAAAAAAAAAAACACTACTAGACGTTTCACATCAGTAGCAGAGCATACCGCGTAGCATTTGATAAAGTTTCAATCCGTCAGGACTCGGTTTGATAGAGACGGAGAGGCCTGGCCATGGACCCATCCTAATTCCAACAAGGAGCTTTAAAGTTTCTTATTCTATGATGCCCATCTTCGGCCTTCCATTATCACCAGAAAACGGGGATGCACAATCTTGCCTGATCGGACAGCATGGCGGCCCCATTGTCCAGCGAGCACAGGCAATCCACGCAAACTATTCTATGGTCCTAACTTTAAAGGTTGCGTGCTTTACTTTTGAATTGGCCTTGAGGAAACGACGCCTTCTCTGATGTGAAATCCTAGCAGTCAAGAAGTCACTCTCTCGACAGAGAAAGTGAAGCTTACAGATTAGACATTGCGTTTCAATGGAGTCAGATAAGTTAAAACGAACCCAGACTAACACATACAGATGGAGAACTCTTGGAAAGCAAGTTTTTACCAAGTGTTGAAAGAGAGCTAGTAATCGATACAACAACATTAATTTTCTACATAAAGTCTTTTGCGTTCATTCATGCAAGCCTAGAAAAATACAAGACCCATAGCTAGGGCAGAAAGAATGAGTAAAAATGATAATACTGAGAAAATAGTGTAAATTATATTTTAATATTAGTGTGTATATATAACTCTCACGTGTGTTAGTTTCTCTTAATATTTTTATATTAAGAATTTTGATTATTAAGCGACTATTAATTTAAATATTATTATTTTTATTTATTTAATAAAAATTAAATACAAAATATTATTGTTTATTGAAGTTTCAAGTTTAAAAAGTAAAAAAATATATTAAAAAATAATATAAATTATATCTTACAATTTTAACTACTTAATTCAGATTATTCTTTTGACAGACATGGCATTAAAGCTTCCCACCGGGAAATCCCACAGTACCGAAAAACATTAGAAGGAATTCATTTACAACGTCCATTTCTCTTGAGACCAAGCTATGATGCTATCAACCCTCTTTTAATCAAAAAGGAAAGGAGCACTTGGCGTTTTGAATAGGAGCGCAGAAAACAGATGATTGCTAAAGTCAATTGTTTTGCAGCAGAGCAATATATACTTCTCTACTTTCAAACTCCTGAAGGCATTGCACGCTAACCATACTGGTAGTAAAGTAGCAAAATAATAATAAAAATTGGTGCCGCAAAGCAAATCAGATAAACCTATTAAAATGCTGCATGACCACCAGCCAGACTACAATCGAAGCTCACGTCCATAAGCATGGCGTAGAATAGCAGGTGATTGTGTCAGTGTAGTCATCCTCTGTGCAAGCAATTATTGTTGCTTAAAATTTGGAGGTCTAAGTTGCTGATTTTCATAGTTTAACTGGTTTCAAAATTACATATTTGTGTCCATAAACTAACAAGAATATGAAATAAATGCACAATAAAATCTCATATCTTTATTTAACCAGGTCTTGAAATGAGATAGCCTGTATCAACCTCAACGAGTTTTGGTCTTTTTCTGGCCACGAGCTTGGACTGCCGAGCAAATCTTTTTCCAACAACGCATAGCAATGAGCGAGGGAATTACAACCCAGGAGGCATTTGCACCAATATAGTATACATAATAGTGGTATGGACTGGTAGCAAAATGATCACCTTCCAAGTAGGCAGTTAAGAAATACACAGCTGTTCCATAGAGCTGTCCCAAACAAACAGCAAACTGAAGTATGTAGCTGTACGATTTTCCAGAAGCAATAGCATACCTGCCAAGTATGTCAGCAAGCAACACTGTTAAGAATTAAGAGATTGAAGGTAGATAATATGGAGTCAACAGACACTTGAACAAAATAATTGAATCTTATTCAAGGTGCTGAGGAAAGTGAAATCATACACTGCCAGGAGGCTAGCTGGTCCCTCGAGAACAGCAGTCAATCCTTCAACAGTAACTGTTGCAGCATCCCTTGCTGCATATCTTGAATCACCTTTGCTATATTCTTTCCCTGCTCGAAAGATAATGAGAACTGTTATCTACCAAAGATTAAGAATTCCATTTCTCTCTCTCATGTAAAACAATTAAAGAGTCATTACACTGACATTCTCAACTGCAAATACTGCTTAATACCAGAGATGAAAAGAAAGTATATGAATAAAAGAGAAAACAAAGAGGTACTTACAAACTTCAGCCAGATAATTAGCAGTCTTGTCCTTGTAAAATTCTGGAGAGAAAGCAAAATAACCCTCGAGAATCAAGTGTGTGAGACCAGTGAAAGCCCACCAGCACATGAGCAACCTATTCATTTTCGTTATTTTACGAGACCTTCCTGGAATCGGAGAAATAGCCTATAGTAATTAATAACTCACAAAATGTTCAATTCTCTAGAAGTAACTTCATTAAATTAATAAAATAGAGAGTACAGGCTAGAACACAATAATCACAAAGGAGCAGGGCGCAAAACAAATATTGCAATAGAATCTAGTGTGGAAATATACTAGCAACCAAAAACTAACACGGGTCAAAGAAAATGTTGCATTTGTGAAAATTTGAAGCCGACAATGAAGCTTGAAAAGAACATCTAAACAAGAAATAGTTCACTTCCTTTCTTTGCTTGACTTGACCATATAGACCAGAATCCATGTAATAACTGTCAGTTATGATCACATGCCAGGACAATTAAGAACACTGTAGCGGATAACGTTCTAATCCATAAAGTTGTGAGAACCTGCTTTACACTTGCAGATCTTATTAGAAGAGGCCGCGTAGCTCTATTTCGAGGAGAGAAGAAAAACACAGAGTTCAAATCCTAATCTAATTCAAATGGTTACAGAACAAGAAAAAATAAAGACATTAATTGTCCACTGGGAAAGAATTGCAATTCCAAATCCAAAGTGAGAAAAAAGTTCGCCTCCTTTTTTCACCTTTTATTTTTCGTTCACTTTTTTTTTAGTTTCTTTTTAGTGCAATGTCTCTGCCAGAAGGGTAGCCCGACTAGGCAACAGCCATTAATGACTGGCTAGAGAGCTCTATGCATAAAATATTTAAGTGGGAAACTGACAGAGACTTCCCTGTAAGACCATCCACGGACAGAAACAGTTTAGCTTCTGTAGCCATTTAAGAATACTCTAAAAAGATCCAGTATCTAATCGAAGGTTGCAATTAAAGTGGGCCATACAAGGTTGTTTGCGCTTCAAAATCTATATTTACTGCAAATGCTATATAAATCAAAACTCGAACCAGCAAGATTCAGAAAAGGGAATATATGAATTTTCAATTCATTATAGTTAATGAAAACCCACTATCAGTCTTGGAACAAAGAAAGGCTTGATGAAATAAAAATAGTGGAAAGGGGGGCAAACCAGAGAGGATCCAGATGAGAGAGACGACAAGAAGGGAGGTGAGTAAATAGACACCGACAATGGTGGATTGAGTGAGGAAATTAGGAACATAGCCAGGCAGTTTCAGATCTCTTGGTGCGTATGGATGCGGCTGCCCCTCCATTTTCGCTTCTTTGCCTCAGCCTCTCTTGCAGTTCAGTTTGGTTAAGCTGAAGTCTTCTTAATTCCTGTGGTTTTGGAACTTCTATGAGGGTGTAACTTGTTTTTTGAATTTCTATTGGGTCGGATTGGATCGGATCCGAATCAGACGTCATGGCGTGTCCAACATGGAGTCTTAGGAGTGGGCGGGCAAGTTGCATTCCTGTCCCACTCTGTTTACCGTTTTCTCCATCTGACAAATGCTATACTTGCACTTCTAGTTTTATTAGGGTTTCTGTCTAACGTTATGTTATAGAACTTTTTTATGATACGTATGCTATAGAATCACTAATAATTTGAATAATAGAATCTAATATCAATTCATATTATTATTTTTAGTTTAATTATAAGAGAATTGTATGTAAAATACATGATTAATCTAAAAATTCAACACACAACAAATATACTTTAATAAAACGCTTATAATTTGGTTAAATAAAGTTATATTGTTGTTAAAAATTAATCTTTTATCTTTAAAGTTTCATTACTTATCTTATAGTGTAAATAAAATAATTATGATTACAATTAGCCTTGTGGGATTCTGACATGACATTGATTGAGTGCATTACTAAATAAGATCCACAAATTCTAAAAAATATAACTTGAAATCTCTCTATAATATAATTGAACTTAAATTCTAGAGTAGAAGAAAAACCAGAACGTAAACTTAAGAAAAGTAATCTAAAAAATTAAGGTGAACAAGAGTTTATGTATCACACTTTTCCTTTGGCTCCTTTTTTATAATGGGTTTTGAAGTTAAAATTGATATAGAATTAATTTGGTAATTACCACAATTAAATGCCACCATTTATTAGTATTAATTACTTACCATCAAGTAAAATTAACACGATAGTTTTTTGTTTTAAAATTTAACTTTCTTGCTTGAATAAAAAAATCTATACCGTTGTTTAAGTGTTTATTCAAACCATACAATGACAAGTTTACAAAAACAAATTATTTTTTTCTAGCAATAATTTTTTCAAAGTGTTTCTTGTGTATCTCTTTGTGAAAGTATTTATTTAAAAAGGTTCCTATTACAATTATTTGATGTATTGCAATCTTTTTTTTATTAACGTGGTTTTTTCTAGTCTAGCTTACATGCACTTTAATTAATTTTACAGGACCTAAAATTAACG